GTCAGGCCTCACCAGCTCTCCGAAACCGGAGTTCTCCAGAAATAACATGCACATGCCTTAAGCACTGACTGCGCTAATAACAGAAGTGTGAACAAAAAACTGGAGGTGCGAAAAGATTTAGTGATTAAGCTTGACATTCCTTGAGGACGCCGGACATGGACAAAAAGAAATTGCAGATGAATGACTTAAGTTTTTCTGAAGCTATATTTGAGGTTTTGCTTGCTAAGAAGGTACTGATGGATGTACAGCACTGACATGATATCATTGAGATAATTCTCTATCCAGCTCATGTTTTTAAAGCATCAGATTTCTGTATTGTGTTTGCAAAGAGATGTTCTCATTACTGTTGTGTCAGGAGTGTCAGCCCTCCTGGAGGTTTGGCTTTTATTGTACCTGGATGTTAACAAGCAGTATTGTCTCCAAAGTGTAAAAAGACCTCACTATCACTTTCTCTCTAAAAAGGTTAATAAATAGTGCTCTATTACATGGACATGGTGCTCATAAAAAAGGGCCTTTGTGATGAAAGAAATATTTAAAAGTTGTAGTAAAGCACAGAATTACATGTCCAAATGGGTCTTGTTTTCCTAAGCTAGAGTTTGATTAGGCCTACTTCATTGTCTACAATTGTCCAAACATTATTTTTATTGGCCAACTAATAAAGACAGAACACCTCAGGACAGACAAATTGTATTATACTATAGAAGAAGCATTGTGGGATCACTTTAAAAGTAATTTATTCCTCATCTATATTAAGAGCTCTAATTGTGTTTTAGTATCTCTTGTTGAAAATCAGCCTATTATCTAATGCTGTGTAGGAAACAGTGTCATAAAAAGCATATTTATAAATGCATATTTTTCCACATAAATTGTGGTTACACCATACGCTCATCATCGCCAACTATGTTACATTTGAAAGTTATAAACTCATTGCCTGGGAGTAGCTCAATATGTAAGAACACATGGCTATGAATGCTTATTTTTCTTTATTTGTTTATAATTCAAATCAAATTTTAACTTAACTTATATTTATAACATATTATTTATATAATGTGAGCTAACTAGCTTCCTTGGCTAACATAATTAAGTCAGTATTTGTGAGCTATGTTAGAAATGTCTTTAATTGTAAAATAGGCTATGTTCTGCTATCTCTATTGTTACCATTCACAAAGATTACCCTCCAACAAAGTTATAGCCTACTTCATGCATTCTTTGTGGAGGCTAAACTTTGAATGGCTGTAACTACTGTCCTAAGTTTGTGGTACAGAGAAATATCTAATAAGCTGTTTGATTTGCTTGGTGATGATGCCAGTCACAGAAACCTTAGTCCAAACACTGATTGCTGATTGACAGGTTATTCCTGTTGCCAGCTTACAGTATGTTTCATTTTGAAATAAAATAACTTCTCTGTTATTTTTCAGCACATATAACTCACTGTTGTTTTTAAATTAACTCTGATATGTTGCCTTTCTACATTCATTCGGCTTTCAGTCTTTTTATGGTAGGGAAAACCCTGTACTAATTAGAATCCATATTTCTGTTGTTCCAAGAGGTATGCAAATTTAGATTCATGTTATAAAATGCCTGTCAATCACATAACAAGCTAGCCTTATCACACAACATTAATGCTACAGTGCTGTTTTCCCATGTGTACACTTTAGATTGGGGAGTTAGCTGCCAAGTTTTCAGCACCTGATAGATCTGAAGCCTGAATTTGGGTGGGGGTGGGGGGGGGATGCATTTATTTTCACTATGATCATTTTCGGCTCTCTAGTGAATTTAACATTCATACAGGCCGAACTCTCAACTTGCCCTTAGGAATACCTCCCTTTGCTTATCATCAGTCAAAGTGACTGAGTCCCTCCACTGAGACTGAGCGAGATGAATGCACAAGCAGTTAGGAACAACTCTTTGCCAAGAGGACAACAGATCAGGTCACACAGCACTCATACATATACAGAATGAACCTGTACCTGCAGCGTTCAGTGATATAATTGCAATAAACTAAAAGTCTCATTCAGTGGTTATGTCTTTATGTTTTGCTTATGCTTCCATGTTAACAATTACATTATTTTAATGAAAAAAAAAGAAATTATTAAAATGTATAGTTGTGAAATATTTTGCTGGAGCTGTTAAAGAACACCCACAATACTGCAGAAAGGTCTAAGGGTAGAGACACACCAGTCAACCGTTGGTGAGCGCCTGTCGGGGCTCTTCTTCCCAGTGTGTCCAGCACTGTTAGCGCTAGTCGATCTCCGTCAGAGGCTTTTTGGCTGATTCTACATGTTGAATCGGCATCGGCAGTCGGGTCTTGTCTGTGAAAGAGAGCCCACTCTGACTGGCTGTTGAGCTTAAAAAGCCCATGGCATGCTTTTTCTTGTTTTCTGACTTATCTACAATGCTACAGTGGTGAATTATCACCTTAGACCTGACCTAAAGCAAAAAAAATGAGGTGTATGTATCTTCTAGTACTTCTATGCAGAAGCCACTTGGTTTATACATGTCTTGTAAATTCTTTCTTGCAAGACATTTTTTCTAACAAAAGTATTACATGATAGTTTAAGGATCTCCTTGAATGGTCATAATCTTCGGGCAGTTGCACGTTCATGTGTGGTTGCCTGACATCCACCGGTGCCATTGCAAAAGTGGAATTTTTCGATTGCATGCAGCTCTGGGGATATAATTTACCTCCTCCAGCTGCACTGTTACCAGAGGATGTGGAGAAAAACACAGGGTCTGAGGTTACTGCCTGTCCGAGAATGTTCCTGTACAGGGACTCGCTGTTTTACCTGAGCAGGTCTAACCTAACAACAGCAGGCCTGTGAAGCCCCACGGGGCGGTGACTGATCAGATCATCAATGCTGGATTCCCCTGGAAGACAGTACCTGTTTGTTTTGACTGCTTGAGGCCAGTGTATCTGCAGCATGTGATGTGATGTGGGTTATGGAGTGGATTCTAATGACCCATGATGTTATTGTCAGTGCTACGCTACCTGTTGGAATTAATTTCACTACTTTGGGACTGTATGTGGTCATGTGGGGGAAGATGCAGCGACCATTGGTTGGATTTACCAACCTTGGAGCTACTTGAAAGGGAGCGATGTTTCCACTACTCAGTAGGACTTAATGGTAAGTTTAAAAAAGAACACACGTTGCATGTCTGTTAATGCCCTGTTTGTGTAACGTTAGAGAGAACTGTTGTAAGGCTGGAGAAGTTACTATGTCTGCATTATGCCAGTTAAAATATGAGGTTTCTCAATTATCCACTTTGTTTAGAGTGTTACATATACTGTATATATGTTACAGTACATATACTATATATATATATATACAACTATCCTCTCGTTTTTAGGAAGAAGCTCTCTGGTTTTATCATTCTGAAATAAGTACAGACTATTTGAAGTTATGATGGGTGCCAAGCTAATCTAGAGGTACCCAAGATTAAACATTAAATGACTGGAAATGAGCACGCCATGGGCTCTTTAACGAATCAATGCAACAAGAAGAGAACGGTGTAAATATTTAATTTTTATGAAATTTTATGTAAAGCACTTTGAGCAGCATCTCGGGTGCCGTACAAGTACAGTTTGTTGTTTTATTATTACACAAATAATGATGAGCATCAGAAACAGCGTGGGATTCAGAAATTACACTGGATGTGCTGTGAGCAGACATCTGTCCCGATGACACTTGCAAAGCTTGTTAACCACAATGGAAAACCATGAAAAAGAATCTGTAGGGGCTGCTCCATGCCAGATGTATAACTATGTGCCAGTCTATGTTTTTTTAAGACAGTTTATCAGCAGGGTTTGTGGCTTTTCAATCAAAAGGTTGAAGAGCTGTCAGCTATGAGGCATGACCTCCTTTGGCCCGTTTGGCCATTTCCTCTCTAGTCTAGCCATGCTTGACAAGCCATTAGAAGGCCTGTCCGCCTGTGGCAATGGATGGGCTCTAGTTCAGAGAACACAGGGAGTCAGATAAGGCTTAAATCATTAGAGGGCAGCATGGAGAAGATGGCAGCCCAGGCACCTACTCTTCATTTCTACACTATACTGAGCACAGACAGGGAGAGGCTAAATTTTCTCTTCAATTAAACCATTTCAAGGTTGTCACACTGTCTATAGACAGCAAACAGTGAATACTGGACATGACCTACTTGGTGGTTGGGTGTTTGAAAAGCAACAAAAACAATATGAAATGGCCATCATTATCTCAGCTGTTCCATTTGAAAAATGTCTTCATTCTCTTCTCTTTCTCTCACAATGTGCAGTGTGAATATACAAGCAAACATACGCACACACAAAACACATACACCCAGTACATGCAGTGCACAAAAGGAGGAAAATTCTGGAAACACATGTACAAAATGATTTGTCCTGATGTTCGTGTGTAATCTTACAAACAGCATGCTTTTCATCCTTAGGTTTCATAAATATATTATCTATCACAAAATAAGAACATTTATGAGTCAATCAGCAATTAGCTCCATTCTCACATTGAGTTTGGTTTAACTGTTTCTTATTGACTACGTTGGTCTTTAATTTAGATGTTTGTTACAAGTTCTGAACAAACAGAAGAAAATAATGTATGTGTCTGTAGAAGGTGGAGCCACATGAAAGGAGAGATCTGGAGTTGGATTGCAGTGTATGTCAGGACCAAACTTTGTATCAGAGCAAACTGGTTTTCTGTACCAAAATGTGTAACAAATTAAGCTAGTTAGTCCTGAAGCTGAATTAAGATGATAGGAATTAAAATTTTACCAACAAAAGCACTGCTGCATTTGTATTAGCATAATAATACTCATCAATAAATTACTTAATGAATATATTTAGGTGTGGCTATAAAACATTGTAACTTTTCCATTTTCCTTTCAACACATCAACAGGATCTGAATGGCACAGCTGTGATTTTCAAATTATACTGTGAGAGTGTGTGTGTGTGTGTGTGCAGGGAATCAAGTACATGTGAAAAAGCTGTACCGTGGGCTGAGAACAAGCTGTTTACCTTATAGAGGAGCATGACAACCTGTCGCAGTTTTAGCCTGTGGAAAACACAGACATCATAAAGGGCGGACAAAGCAAGGACGGTCACTCCGAGCTCCTTCCACAGCATGCTACAGGCAGCGCAGCCCAGGCTGCCCAGGAACCAGGCTGCTGGCTGCCAGGGCCTAGCATGGCCCCGCATCTTACAGTGACGTATGTAACACAGCAGGGACAGCAGAAAGAACAGGGCGGCACCTTCATCAGCGCGACCCACCACGCCTGCCACTGCCTCGGTGTGGATGGGGTGTGAAGCAAAGAGCAGGCCAGCCAGCAGGCTCCACAGGCCTCCTCCAAGCAGCAGGCGAGCCAGCAACGTAAACAGGCCTGTCACAGCTCCGTGGAAGGCCACATTAACCAGGTGGTAACCCCAGGGCTCCAGCCCACCCACAGCATGGTTGAGGCGAAAGGAGAGGGTGCAGAGAGGCCGGTAAGACTTATGGCTGCCACTGTGTGTGAGTAAGGTGCCCCAGAAGTCATCATAAAATATATTTGTCCAGGGGGTGTCTGGCAGCAGGTCCTGATTGGTCTTGATTGCACGGCTGTAAAGAAAAATCACAAAGTTTAGAAAATGATGTTCTGTGTACAAAGAAACCCAAATTAAGTATATGACTGACTTACTTGACTGAGAGATCAAATTAACACTTACATTTTTGTTAAATCAATAAAAGTCAGTGTTTTTGGTACAATTCAATGCACTGCAGATTCTCTGAAAAAGATGCAAAACTATATTTTATCAGAGTGGACTAAGCAGAAAATACAGGCTGTTGTGAAATGAAACTTTGCATATCCTTACAGCTTCACCCTGAGCGTGTGGTCATCTGGCATTCACAAACAGAAAATCAGAGGGTGAACATCAAGCTCTGGGGAGCTATATGCCACCACAGCCACATCTCCTACAGCTGTGGTCTAAGGGTTAGGTAAGAGCACCACACCCTGAACCACAGACAAATACAGGCACATAGTAGGGGAATGCTGTGCTGGCAAAATGCAGAAAAGAGAGAAGGGAACCTTGGGTGACAATCGACATGGCAACCAAGTTAGCAAAACACAGCGATATGTCCATGTTCAGGGAGATTTCTGAAGACCACATGTGTACTTTAAGCCTCTCTTGGCAGGCACTGCCACTAAGTAAGAGGCCAGTTTGACTTGCACTCTGTCAGGGATGAACTCACGTGACCTAACATAATGCTGCTCCATCAGCCACAAGCTGCGTGTTAGTGGCTGGAGGTGAGCAGTTAGCAGAGGTCATGGGAGGGGAAGGAAAGGCATGTTTATCCCTACTGGAAACCTTAAATGCTAAATCTCTTTTTCACCTTTTCTGCTACATTACAAGTTGTGGTAATTAAAAGCATGATAGATGGGATGTGCCCAGTGCACCAGGTCATAATATGTCCCTCTAACGGTCACAGTAAGCAAACTGTATTAGTTCAAAGAGAGATGGGTGGAGAAAAGGTGGAGTCTAATTATTCTTTATTCTCTGAATTGAAAAGGTAAACATGAGAAATGGGAATGAACTAAAATAAGATGTTGACTCAAGAGTAATGAACTGCAAAAACACACTGAACTACTGCCACCTCTCAATAACCGAAAGCTCATGGTGAGCTTGGTGTGGTGCAGCATTCATCAAACCACAAAATGAACCAGCTTTCTGAGAAGGGTGAATAGAATTAGCCCCTCTTACAATGGCTCTAAGACAAATAAACAGCCACTGGTCTCAGGAGTTGGAAAGGGCATAGCTGGGGTATAATAGAAATACCTCAGAGGTCAGGGTACAGATGATTGTGTTTCTCTACCTTTAGTCAGGCTGACAGAGGGCCCAGCCCTGCACCAGCAGGCTTAAGATTCAGTAGCCCAGCTCTTCATGTCATGACTCAGATACGCCAGTTTATTTTGTCTGGCCCATTTGTCAAGTGAGATCTTCATTCCACCACAACATGCTCATATAAGAGGCATTATGGTTCAGTTACATCCCAAAGCCGTTTTTGGACACAAGTGCACTCTGTTGTTGTGTCTTGTTGCTTTTCTTCTTTTGTCTCTCCTCTATCTACTCACCCCAACCGGTCGAGGCAGAAGACCGCCCACCAAGAGCCGGGGTGTGTCGGAGGTTTCTTCCGTTAAAGGGAGTTTTTCCTCCCCACTGTCACCAAGTGCTTGCTCAAGGGGGATTTGTTGGGTTTTCCCTATGTAATAATATTGATAACAGTAAGGTCTAGACCTTACTTTGTAAAGTGTCCTGAGATGACTTTTGTTGTGATTTGGCGCTATACAAATAAAATTTGATTTGATTTGATTTGATTTTTCCACTGCACAGTGTAGTAGAGCCAGTGAGCTGAGATACATTATATATTGCCTCAAAACCACACCAGATATTTTTCTGGCAGTAAAGCACAGACAAAACCCTGCTCCAGTCAGTCAGAAGCTCGGTGTGTTTACAGCCTTGGCTTTCTGAGCTGCTCAGATTATCTCCTTTTTATATGTCACAGAGGCAGGCGAGCACCTAACAAACTGCGTCTGACAAGCAGAGAATTGAGAAATGCAGAAAAAGGATGGGTGCGGGTGGGGGGGTGCAACCTCTTAAACCACTCTGCAACAGCTACTCCATTCAGATGAATGGGATGCATCCACAGCTAAATAAACAAATTTGCATTATAGTAACACTGGTCATGGTGAGTCTTCCAAATCTATGGCAAGTCATTAATCCACTGCAGCTCTTCATCATCATCAGACCGTACTACTCTACGAAGTACTAAGGGGCCAACTAGAGAGGAAGATTGAGTTTCTCTGTCTCTCTGTAATGCTGGCAACAGGGAGGACCATGCACTGCAAACCTTTTCCAGCCCTGAGCACATTCCTCCCCTGACCGCCAGCCTGCACACTCACTCCCAAAGGGACGAGAAGATCATGTGGCCACTAACAAGAGAAGCCCCTGAAAAAACTCTTCTACCTCCCATCCTACTTGCTCTATCAGTACTTTGTACTGCCACCCTGCCAGCTATATCTCAATCATGCGTTTCACAATATGGAATGAAACAAGTCAGAAACTAAAGCCTTACCCTGGTTTAAAGTTTTATTTTACATCAAAAAAGTCTTAAATTATTTAACTAAATGCTCATTTACTTATCTAAATACAGTGTGGAATATTTAGCAATAAGGATAATGTGAGGCCTTTGTGCCTACTGTATGCATTATAATATAACACAATAGCACTAATTGGAATAACTGTGGTGAATTCAGACTTTAGAAACTGATCAAGTAACTGTCAAAGTTGGAAGCCATTCCTTGTTTCCAATTAAATTGTTAGTTTTTCTTTCAGACCAAAATGGAGACAAGAGTCTCAGTTTTATTATTCTGTAATGCAATTTATCATTTGCATAAATGAAGCTCTAACAAAGGACAATTGCTTGCACAGAGCAGTAGACCATATAATTATAAACCCAGGGTAAAATCAATTTCCACATACCAGCGTAGCCTAAGCCAAGCCTAAGTTCAAAAGCAGTTCCATGAAAAATGCTCCTCCTATCTCCTTATCTCCTTAGCTGAGGCACAATCATATAACCTCTTCACCCTGGAACGGTTTCACTTATAATGGGAATGCACCAGCAGTGTGAAGAAAATAACTACCTCCAGTAGGATTCCATGTGAAAAGGCTATCTAAAATTGAAGACTGATTGGCTTTACAGTGCAGCGGTCACACACACGCTGCAGATGAGGATGGATATTAGAAAGGAGATGGAAAACCAAGAGCATGTCATCAGGATTTTTCCTTTACAGCTTCTCAATGAATTTGAGATGAAGCTGTGAATGAACAAAGACCTCTTTAAAATCATCCAAAGCCTGAAGGAGAAGGATATAAATAGCCAAACCATCCTCACCAAAGAATGCAAATGCTGGGCATCTGTCTGCAAGTAAAGCATCTTTTTAGATGCTTTGCATTGCTTAAAAATATTGGAGCAGGCTGAGAGGCATTCCAGAAGGAAAAAGTATCAAAACCCACTTTAATAATATAATTAAGGCTTTAGCCACAATTAAAATAAATAAAACTTTAATAAAAACATTAAACTAAATGTCAGTAGTAGCAATATTCTTGGCATGAGTTAGGACCCAGCGTATAAAGATTTCCATTTGTGACAGCATATAAAAAGACAATCAATTTTGGTTGGAGTTTGGGAAAGATGATTGAGCGGAGTACCAGGGCCACCAGAGCTCCCAATGATTGATAGTCTGCCAACAATATGTCATCACCCAGCTTCAATATCTGAAAGAAGCATGGTAGTATTTTTAGGCTGCCCACAGAGACACCGGGGTAGCCCACTCACTGTCGCTCCTTTGTCTAATGTTTCTTCCCATAGGCAGGTCGTTAATGGCATATCTTCACCACACTTATGTTGCCTAATACAGAGAAAATGGTGTTATAGCCAAAAATGTCCTGTACAATGTATTTGTGGTTTTTTCCCACCATAATGTCATATAAGAAAATACATTTAAAATCATGTCTTAGGATTTTTATTGGTTTTTCATGTAATGGGAGAGCATTGACGTTATTAAGTGTACTGGTTAATGTATTCAGTCCACCAGAAAAGCAAACTAACTCTCACAAAGCTCATTTAAATATAAAAATTATTAATTGCAAAAGGTGATGGAGGTAACAGCACAAAGCTGAGGGAAAAAAAAAAAAAAAGCACAAAAAAAAATTAGTTTGACATATTGTTACAAAATCTTCTTAAATCATGAGGATATAGATGGAATTCACTGGGCATTATCAATAAATGCCAAACAATAGAAAATACAATTAAACATTAACATTTTAAAACTAACCAGGAAGAAAAAAAAGCACCTGGATCCAACTGAACACCAAGAAAATGGTCCAAACTAGCTTTGGCTCAGACTTATACAATTTCAGCAATTAGTTTGACATATTGTTACAAAATCTTCTTAAATCATGAGGATATAGATGGAATTCACTGGGCATTATCAATAAATGCCAAACAATAGAAAATACAATTAAACATTAACATTTTAAAACTAACCAGGAAGAAAAAAAAGCACCTGGATCCAACTGAACACCAAGAAAATGGTCCAAACTAGCTTTGGCTCAGACTTATACAATTTCAGCATATTCAGGCTAAAACATAATAACTCCACTGTCTAAGTGTGACAGAGTGTTTTGCTATTTTAGCTTGAACGGGAGGGGATTACAGTGAATGAGAGCCGAGGCTAGAGAGGACAAACAGCGAGAACAGCTGTGGGCTAGCTCACTGCAGCCAGCGCACCACCGCTGAGGCCTCTGTAAGAACCTCTTTTGTCAAGAATGAATGGCGGCCTTCTTCCATTTGACATATGCGAGTAGTAAGCCTTTAATAAAATCTCTTAATAAAAGAAAGGAGCCTCAGGGAGCATTGAGAGAACACTGTAACTTACACAACACAGAGGGTTTAGTAAGTTTTTATTTAGGGTATTTAATGAATTGATCTGAATACCTACAGGTGCACTGAGTGAGAACCACAGTAATTTTAATATTAATAATACCTTCATCACATTT